GAGAGGGGCGGTCCCCGAGGAGAAGGGGGTCGCCAAGGGAGGGTCTCCAGCAGAAGGAGATCCCCAAGGACAATGGCTCCCCAAGGTGGGACAGTCTCTGTGGCAAGGAGGTCCCCAGGGAGGGTGGCTTGCCATGAAGAATGGCCCCCAGAGAGAAGGGGATCCCCAAGGTGGGTTTTCAAAGGGAGGAGGTACCCCAAGGGGAGGGAGGGGTCGCCAGGGCGAAGGGGGCCTCGAAGAAAGAGGGTCCCCACGGGGAGGAGGCTCACGAAGGGGAAGGGGCCCTATGGAGAGGGGGGCTGGGAGTGCTTGGGCCCCCAGAACATGGGTCCGCACCCCATCACCACGGGGGGGTGAGGGCTGCACGGTCCCTGGCTCTGTCTGCACTCTGACGAGGGCCGGACATGGACGTGGTCCGTGCTCCTCCTCGGACACCCCCAGGGTGAGACCGCCGGGGGCTGCGCAGCCCCGGTAATTCTCTCAGGTGTCCCCAGATCTCACATCATCGCCGAGAAGTGGCTGATGGTGAACAAAAAGAAGGTCCTGCTCGAGCAAGGCTGCTCATTGTCGTCTTCTCTTCTTCCAGGGGGATTACACCTGCACCTTCACATACTCAGCTCAGGGAGGAACAAACGAGGTGAGCTGGGCAAACCTCCAAGTGTTTCCCTTAGGCTCAGTCTTTACAGCTGCACAGAGTGAGAAGCTGTTCAGGATGATTTCATTTGTGATGAGCTGATTCCAGGGACCGGGAGCTGTGAGGAAGGGTGGTTGCACCGTTTCCAACAGTGCATGTTTGCAAAAGTAACTTATTGGATTTGCTTCCCAAACAGAAGCATCTCCTTCATGTGTTGTAATGATGCTGTGGTTCGCAAGGCCGTGACATTTGTAAGGCTTCACAGACCTCTGGGCTGGGTGTCTTTGGAGAACAGGGAGTGACATTTTCATACCCCAGTTGGTAGGAAGGACCTCGTAGGAGTAACTCCCATGTTCTTTAGGAGGCTTGAAGGTTTTTGCAGCTCGTGTTGCTGCTGCAGTAAGTGCTGTGCAGATACACAGTTTGTACTTTCCTATCTGCAAGTCCTGTTAGAATCAGGTCCTTTTCTTTTAGTGCAAGGAGAAATGAGACTTTAACTCTTTTCTGTAACTGTGCTAATGAAATCGTGGAGGGGAGAGGGCAACCAGGCCTTGAGCTTTGAGCAACACAAAGTAACAGGGGCCATCAGCAAGTGTTGTGTAGTTAGGTTGCGTTATTTTAGAATGGTTGAAACTTGCCACGCCTGCAGCTGGGAGGGGAGGTGACTGGCCTCAGGGGTGAGCGGGAAGTAGGAGGCTCTTACCCACAGTAACTGTTTGGACCTTTCCCCTCTGCAGCAATGGCAGATGAACATTGGCGTCAGTGAGGATAACCAGCTCTTCTCCTGCTCTGTCTGGAGGTGTGTTCTTTAACCCTAAAGTCTCTGAGGCAAAAGAATGCAGGTGGGATCTGGGCCAGGGCCCCTGCCAGTGGCCAGGGACCCTGCCTCCAGGCTGGGTTTGCCTCTCTGCAGGGCAGCACCGGAGGGCTTTCGTCTCCCGAGAGATGCTGTGACTCTGTGTGGGCTCTTTAGCCGGGCGGTGGTTGATAAATGCTGTGTTCCCCCTCTCCCCCCTCCACACTAGATGGAGCTACAAGAGAGCCGGAGGTGGCTGTGGAGGGACGGAGCCGTGAATCCCGAGCTCATCTGCACCTCCACCCTCCCTGCCGATGTCAAAGACTCTGCTTTCTTGTTTCAGGCCCCAAGGGAAGTCTTATCTCTTCTTTACCCAGTTTAAAGCTGAAGTGAAAGGAGCCAAGATAGAGCATGCCATGGCTTATGTAAGTCCCAGCTGATCATTTGGAAGCAGGTGTGTGGGCTGCTATAACACATGAATTGGACATGGAAAACATTTATTAGACATCTGTCCAATAAAATGTACTCCATCATGTCCCTAATTAGAGAGTGGTGGCAGTCAGGAGAGAGGCCGCAGGTAGGCTCTCCTGCACCATCTTATTTCTGCTCCCTCAACGCCTTTGGGTTGCCATTGGCTTCGCCAGCATCGGTGACTCCAAAAGACACCATTCTACCAGGGTGCACTGCACAAGGGGAGTCTTGGTTTGCCTCAACGAATTGCATGTGACAAAGTAAATAAAAACTCTGCCGGTGCTTTTGTCTGGCTCATTCTTCCATTTCCCAGTCTTCAGTGGTGAGGCTTGCAGTCACCCGAAGGACATAAGTTTGTGGTTTAACAGGAAATGGAAAAATAGCCAGAGATTTTCCTTCCGATTTGCTTTGTGGATTTAATTCACTCCACATTATTAAAACACAAGTTCATTCCTCAAAATGTGCTGTTTGTTTGTTTGCTTGCTTTAAATACAGTAGCTTCTTGGATTGCCTCAACTGCTTAAACGTTCTTCCTTCCCATTTCAGTCTCAAGCTGCAGTGGGTGGACAAAGCGACGTCCCCTTAAAACAGGAAGAATTTGAAATCACCGAAACAACAGGTCTGTGGCCGAGAGAACTATTTGAGAAAGGGTCTGGAGTGGGAGACAAGCCTGGCTGTCTACCAGGAGACGAGTATTTAAGCTTAATGCGTATAGGTGACAATGACTAGGATAATAGTGCATGTTACAGTCAGGGGTGTAGCGCTCTTGATCCATAGCTGGCAGCAGGTTTTTGCAGGTCCCGTTCCAGTGTAAATGTTAAATTAGCATGGGGGAAGAACGGGTTTATCACAACATGCTTGTTGCGTGCATAAAAAGGAAGTGCAATGCCCGACTTGCTGGCTTTATCGTCCTGGAAAAGAACCAGTAGGGCTGTTCTGTTCATGCTTTACCATCTGTTTATCCTGTGCTTGTTTTCTCTCTTTCTAGTGTCTCACAGGGAAGGCAAGTTCCGTTTTGAACTGTCCAAACTCATGATTGTAGCAAAAACACCCCGTGACGAGCTGTGACCCCGAGGCCGGTGTTGGGCAGGGTGTTTTGGCTGGAAGAGCATAGCAGATAAAGAGGATTACTTGTTAACTGCGGGTTTTTTTGGTTGGCCAAACCTTTTATGTTTTCCATATTGAAATGTGCTAGGGTCCAACACAAGTGGGACTTGGAGGTGTTAAGACAGATGCATTCTGTCTTGTGTCAGAGTAACAATGTGCTTTGCAGCTGGAAACCTCCTCAGAGACTCCTGATCTGCAGCCAGCCATTCTGTCGCCCGCTTTCTGCTCGGCTGATCTGCTGAATATGGTAAAGCTCCCCTCGAACGGGGGCTCCTTATCTCCCTTGCTAGGAAGAGCAATGCAGAAAGATAAGTGGCTGGATTTAAACAGGGTTTGCTAAAGGAAAGTTGTTAACTCTGTAGTCTCTGGAGGGGAGACAGGATTTCTCTCTCTGCAAGCATGACAGGAGGAAATAATTACATTGGGGGGGGGAAGGGATAGAGCTGGCCAAAGCTATCTGACTCCTTGTTGAGTGCAGCTGCCGAAGACCTTCGCTGGGGAAGATGTTCCGGACCTGCCCTACTGCAGAGCGTGGGTTGGGATAACTTGGGATGGGGAAGGCAGAGCTGCTTATTCTGACACAACCCAGGAATCAATCCAAGCAACACTTTCATGTCTAAGTACAACTGCAGGACGATTTTCTACGTACAGAAGTGATTTTTTTCTTATCTAGAGTAATAACAGTGAGGGAATGTGGAATTCCTTTTCTGTGTAAATACAACACAAATAAAGAAATAAAGCATCATGCTCTGGCCTGAGCTTGCTCCGCTCTGTGACTCCTGCCCTCTCCAACGCGATGCCTGGCGAGTGGCGCGACCTTCGGTGTTTACTTGGCCAGGAGGAGCCGAGATGTTACACGGGGGTTCTGCCCACCCGAGAGGAGCCCCAGCACATGAGAACAAGACTCCAGCTGTAAGTTTGCATGACCCAGCACTGTCATGATGAGTGCTTTTGATGCCTGGTGATGGTTGTGGTTGTTGGTAGCTGCTCTGCCCATTTTGGGGGGAGTTCCCTGGTTTTTGGCAGTCTGGGGGTGCTTTGCACTGGGGATTTTACAAGCTCTGTTTTCCAAGCTGTTCCTAAATGCTTCTGTCTCTGCTGTGCGGCTCCTTCTGGATCTGCAGATAACCTGCAGGGCCCAGAAGCGTCCCCGGTGTGCTCCTGCCTGAGCTCTGAGAGGCATTTAGGGTGCTGATGTTGCAGGTCTCCGACCTTTCTCCCTGTTTAATCAGCCCCTGGGAGAGAACCAGACCAAAGGGAGTTGAAGGGACTCATTTCCCAGACTTGTGCAGCCAGGGTTGGGATGGGAAACCCAGGGCATAAGATGGCTCTTCTAGCAGATAGTGTGCTCTCCAGGGCTTCCCCGGGACAAAAAGGCAGAGGTTTGGGAACAAGGCAGGTGCTTGGTGTGGGGGAGAAGTTTCAGATTAGACACCTGTACGTGAAGGAAAGCTGGTGCCAGGCATTTGGTGGGTTAAACGTGGTCCTGGGGTGTACGAAACCCTGGGGACAAAGGGAACAGCCGTGAGTTGGGGCTCATCTGAGCAGAGATGTTTCATGCAATTAAGGAGCATCTTGCAGCTGGTGCCGACACACACCTCGAGAACAAAACAGCGAAGCGTTTCTGGCTGTCAGCGCAGCAGCCGCTGCCACCGCATCCATCAGCCCTGTTCCGCTTTGCCTGCTTGCTGCATCTGCCGATAACCACCGAGCTGTTTCCAGCTCCAGCTCCTCTTCAGCACATACCTGACAGCTGCCGCGAGCCCGGGGGGGACGGGAACGTCTGTTCTCAAATGCCGCACGCCAAAGGCCGACTTCACCCTGCCCTCCCCGAGGGACCGACACCTCGGTGGATCTTGGCCGCATTCTCCTCCATGCACACCTGCAAATGCGCTTTACCCCCGACCCCAAGCTGCTTCGCGCAATTAAATTAGCTGCGATAGCTGGAGCCAGGCCTGTGAAATGACGGAGATAGGGGCTTTATTTCTTTTATTTAATCTTTAAGGCTGAAAGTTATCAGTGCCTCGAGCCAGCGGTGGAAAGGGAGCAGCAAACAGGAGCCGTGGAGCTGCTCTCTGCCCACAAGCGCTGGCAGCCTCCTGTGCCTGGAGACATCCCATGGAACAGGAGGCACAAGAAGGTCGCGGAGATAAGGCCGGCTGAGATTGTGCAGCATCTTGTATGCTAAAAGAGCAATTTTCGGTGTTCAAAGCCGAGATCAGCGTGTTGGAAGCGGGCCATGGCTGGTGCCCCCATGCTCTGAGAGCACAACGCTTTTACAACACGCCTGTATTGAATTCTGCAAAGTTGCCCGTTGCTTTCTGCTATCAGGGTTGTACTTTTTTAGCTCCCGCTGTGCAGCGAGGGGACACGGGCATGCAGAGGAGCACCCCAGACCTTTGCTGTCAGTTTGCGCTGGGTTTTGCACCACGTTTCCTCCCACCAGTTCAGCGCCGGCCATGCAAAGCCCAGAGCTGCTGTGCCATGGAGCAGGGGCAGCCTGGCCAGTAGTGATGCCAGGGGACGGAGAGTAAAAACCCCCGGTCGCAGAGAGCAATCACCATTTAAAAGACAAAACCAACTGTCCCTGGCGCTCATTTTATCACTGTCAACCACCTTTGTATCAACCGCATGGAGCACCCAGGCCAAACAGGTGATTTTATTTAAATAACTCATCAGAGTTATAACTACAGTTTGCTAAAAAATAACAACCATAACTCAGTCGAGGACACGTAAAACATATGAAATCCTAGGGAGAGCTTTGGACGACCACTGAGGAAGGTGTCGGAGCCATCACAGTGGTGCTGTCCCGGGAGGCTCGCGGGGGGAGTTGGGTCTTGGATGAAGGGTGTACCTGGGCTGCAGGGACGGAGCAGGTCCCTCCAGCTCCCTCCCTGCCTGGAGGGACAGCTGCTCGCCCAGGCAAGGTGGGATCCTCCTGGTCTCAAGGACTTGTCTTTTAGGAGGCCAAAGCCCATGCTAGCCTGCAAGGTGCAGAAGCACCTTCCTACCCTGGGCAGCACGAGTCTGGACCATGATTCGCTCCCACCGTGTCATGGAGCAGCTGAAAGACAACCACGGGGCTCCACAACCCTCCAGTAACAGGGTCTCACAATCGTTCACCCAACCAACTGCCCACCCACCCACAGACACCTTAGAGGGGTTACGCACCATGAGCCTTTGGTTTGGTTTTCCCCCAGGAGAGTTACAGTAGAGTTCAAGGTGAGGAGTCCAGTTCCTTGGACTCTGAGCTAAGAGCACTTGGTGGGCAAAGGAAAAACTGTACAGCAGGAGCCCAGAAGCCCAGGATCACCTGGAAAGGACTCCGTCCAGCACAGGGCAGGTTTGCAGAACCCAGGCAAGGGTTAGACAAAGTCAAGAGGTTCAGTCTTTTGTAGAAACGAGGAGAAAATGAGTTAGCACTGCAGAGGAGAAGAGGACATCAAGCCTGGTGATGGCCAAAACAGGCGTATGTCCTGTCCTCAGTCTCACAGAAGGCAGAGTCCGGCAGTCGCTGCCAATGGCCCGTCTCGGCCAACTTCATATGCTGTCCTCCTCCAGCATCTTGTTAACCCCTTCACAGATCCTCTTCAGGTGGGTGCGGTAGGGCTCAGATGGCCCGTAGAGAGCCGAGAGGAACTCATAGTCCGCAAAGTGATTAAAGACGTGGTTGATGCGGGAATGGGATTTGGCCGTCAGGTGGCCGTTGACAGCCTGGTGCAGCAGGTCCCGGCACTCCGTGAGGACACCCGACATGACCCGGCGGTCAAAGGTGAAGTCTATCTGGTGGAAGCTGACGGCCGTCATGGCCAAAGTATGCACCTTCTTGCGGAAGCGCTCCATCACCAGCAGCTCCTCGGGGTTGAACTGCCCGTTGCGGTAGAGCACACCCAACTTCATGACAATCTTGATGAGGTTTTTAATGATCTTCTGGGCCTCTTTGCGGTTGTGGGTGTACTCCTTGGTGGCCCGGTAGAGCTCATCCAAGATCTCGCTGCTGGTGTCGTCAATGAAGACGTTGGCTATGGTCTTGGTAGCCATCTTGCTCAAGAGCTTCTTCTGGGCCTGCATGGCCAGGTTCTTGGTGCTGAAGGTGTCCATCTCTGCAGGGGGAAGAGGCATGCACACAGTTCAGCCCATGCCCTGGATCAGTCCCCGTCCCCTCTCCTCCCCACGCAGCCTTTTGGGAGGAGGAGAAGCACCTCTGGCCAACAGCAAGACCGAGAGGAGCTCCTGGCTGCCAGGGCAGGCAAGAGCTGAGCTCACGCCCCAGGTTTTGCTGGTGGGACGAGTTACAGGGTGTTCCCACCTTCCTTCCCCAAACTCTGGGGAGAAGCTACGGTGTGATGGGCAGCGCTGGAGGTGAGCAAGGTCCCATACCTGAGCATTGCCTGTGACCTTCCATCCCCGTCTCCCTCCTGTGACCGGCGCCGCCCTCCTCCCCGTGCAGGAAGGACTCTTGCCCCATCATTTTGACATTTTTCTTCCTTAAAACCTGACTCACTTCCTGCAGGGTGAGTTGGGGACAACCCAGGTGATGGCTGAGTCACCCACTGCAGCCGGCACAGCCACGTGCTGGCATACAGCCTGGCGCCCACCGAGGCCGGGACGGAACAGCCAGTTTGCAGCACCCACTGATGTGCATTGAAGCCCTTTTCCCCAGTGCTTCCTACCCCGGTACGCCCACGCCGTCGGAGCTCGGACTCGTTCTGGCATGGTCTCGGCTTCCCCCAGAGCCGGCACGAGCATTGCACAGAGGTGAATAATTCAGCAAGCCCGAAACCTCACCCCTTGCTCACCTACAGCCTGACTCCCCACGCCCCGGCAGGACCAAATCAATCATCTCGGGCAGATTACAGCTTTAAAAACTGCTGTGAATGAAAAAAACGCCACCAAACCTGGAGACGCATCTTGCCCCAGGAAATCGCAGAGCTACAAATCACAGGGAGGCGAGAACAGCATGATAACAACCGGCTCCCGCGCCAGGATGGATGGGCAGGGATGGGGGTTGCTTATGCAAGAGCCTGCACGTGGCACGGTCAGCCTGGCAAAGCGAGAGCGGGGAAGGGATGGGATCGCGCTATAAATACATCACCAGGGAGGAGAGAAGAGCTATTTAAGCTAAAGGATGCTGCTGGTGTGAGAATGGATGGGGATAAGTTGGCCATGGATATGGAGAGGAGGGTTAGGGTTAGGGTTAGGGTTATTCTAGCGCAGAACCAAGTTCATCTCCATTGCGGGCAGCCCTGCAGACCGCCCCGGCCGAGCCGCCACCCGGTCCCGGACCCCCTCCGGGAATCCTCGATCCCAATCCTACCACCACGGAGCGCACGCCAGGCTCTCGGGCGCAAACCCCGGCTTCCCGCGGAGCTCA